CTGCGAGGGGCTGGGCGTTGGGCACCGGCGCGCGGGGGTGGTTGCGTATTCGTAGAATCGCCGACCTGCGCGGGTCGCTGGGCGGGAGGAAGAGGAAGGGCGTGTGGGCGGGCGAGGCTTCTGACGCGGGCGGGTTGTAGATGATGCTGTCGGCGGCGGGGGACGCGGCGGTCCGGTCGGGGAGGAAGGAGTCGTGGGGGGCGATTTTGAGGGCCCGTTTGGTTCGGGCGGTCGTTTTGTGGCCGCGTTTGGGGGTGAGAGGTGTGCGGCGGGCGGTTGTGAGGAGCTGGGCTACGGGGCGGGCGAGGGAGCGAAGGTCCATGGTTGCGTTGTGTTCGAGGGCTGTCCCGACGCTGCTGGTTGAACTGCGGATTGGCTGATTGAGAGAGCGGATGTATGTATGGAATGAGGTTGAACTGAGGTGGTAATGGGGTTGGACTGGCCGGCGGCACCGGTAATTGGCGAGGGGAGGGGTTGGTGCGTGGCCGTGTCGTGTGAGCCCGTGATGGAGATGCGAGAGCCTTTTGGAAATTTTGAAGTTTTTGGCCAAGAGCCCGACTGTTGGCTTACATAAGGCGTGGTCCTTGTGAGAAGCAGGAAAGGGGCCCCATTGATGGGGTGTTGGTGCATGACGGGCGGCCCCACTTGTTCGTGCCCCGTCAACTATGCTTTGCGAAGAGCGACGGTGGTGGTTCTTTTTTTTTCTTTTTTTTCGGGCGCATATTATGGAAGTGGTCTATTTTATTCTCGAAAGGGCATTCAATATGCGTTGCCTGGTTCACGAACTTAAAGTTATTCATAATAAATCCACTAGCCGTGCCAATTCTATCTCTAAACTTCTAATGCAGAACTTGGTTCCACCTGACGGCCATACCACAAACTTCTATACGTGTCTATTCCTTCTTTCTCTCTTTATTTCCCAGGAGTACAAGTCATGAAAACCAGGCCAGCGCAGTAGCCATGCATGCTCGAGTACAATGCATCGCCAGCACAGCTTTGACCCTTACGCAGTCTTCCCATGGATACCATTCGCTTTCTCCGGCTTCGCAATTCCCGGTACGTACTGTGCTGCAAACGGGACAGGCCAAGCTAGCAAATGAGTCGGATCGGTGGTGACTTCACCGGATGTTATTTCATCCACCAGCGCAACGGCGATGTAGCCGCCAATTGCAGTAAAAACGTGCCACCTGAATGAGCGCAATTAGAAATGGCGACGTGTACAAAACCACGGAGCCTTGATCAACGTACCATCCGTGTAACTCGAGGAAGAATGCTGCCGGCAGCCCAACAGACTGCCTCGCACCGTTCAACATGCCACATGCCCACTCGTCGATTAACCAGACGAAAAAGCCGAAGCCGAAGCTAACTGGAGACGGGCCTCGTGAGTCACGGGGCCATTTTCAACGGGGGATTCTTGCCAAACGTACATGTGCCGAATCTAGCAATCTTTTTGAAGTTGCTCCTGGTCTGCGGATCGGGAACTTGCTGAGGAATGAGCTTCATGACCCTCGTGGCAATCATGTAGACGGCAAAACCAAACGTCGTCGCGTGCAGGAGAAATTCGTCCATGAGCATGTGAGTCGCCATGACGACGGTAAATAGTATGCAGAGAATGACCCCCGCCGTTTTGGTATATTGCTCCGATTTGTTAAAGGTCAAGATGCGATAGAGGAGCGGTGTCGAAAGAAGATGCATCGACAACTCGTCGGCTGCAAACCGAATATGTGAGACGCGGGCGGTATAATCATGCTGGGAAAGCCGAGACCAACTTACACATTTGCGTGTGGTATTTCAGCGTCATGTGGTATCCGGCAGAGCACACGCCTACCCCGATCAACCCGCAGTAGGAAACGAGGCGCGAACCATTTCGTCGCCCATGAGCCAAGCCGTAGATTCCATAGCCAACTATCACTCGATTTCGTCAGTTTCTTTCCTCTTCTAGTGACAAGAAGGAGCGTCGGGTTTCAGCTAACCGTATACCAGGCTGCTCAGGGTGTTGATGAATTCAGCAATGTACCGCGTCACAACGTAGTCCTGTCGTCATCTAGGTTAACCTTTTGCGCCCTCCCTCTCGGTCCCGGGTGGATCATGTACCTCTTCACAAAAGCTAGAGTCCTTTAAGCAACGCAACCTATCGACAGGGGCTGAAGCAGTCTTGGGACAACCTACTTTAAGTTGGACGTGGGCGCTCCCCAGAACGGCTTTGCTCGCTGCACATCCATGACGCTGGTGACAGTGGTGAGTCTACCTGCAGAGGAGTGAGGCGGAATGGTTGTCGATGCTGTCGCGACATTTTGGGGGAAAAAGGCCCCGCTGCGTGAATCGAGTGCAACATTCCTATCCGATCGAACCGGCGATGATGCGAGGTATTAGTCAGTAGCGTGCGTGGATATTGCTTTCCTTGGAGTCAAAACCCTAATGTTTGAAGTCGGGCTTCTGCCACCGTCGACGCGGGCTGCGGGTGGCTTATGGAAGGCCCGCCGGCTCCACCAATGGCGTGCCCTGCATCCATTGTCCCTTGGGAGAGCGTCAGCGGTACAAACTCAAACCAGGCACAAAGTTCTGTTGACAGACAAGTTTCACACGCCCTCGCTTGAGCGAGTCGTTGTTTTTATCGAAGACATGTGATGTGCATCATGTCTTCCCCGATACGGGCACGACTCCACCAAATGGCATCTATCTTTACAGCTTCAAACACCAGGGATCGCCAACCAAAATACCGTCCCGTGTCTCAACTGTGATGCACATTCGTCGGCATCATCTTGTTTTTTTCATCATGACTGTAGCTCTAACCATCTTTGCAGCTATGGCCATCATCCTGCTCTGCTATGGCTCGCCATTTGGCAGCTTTTCCAACTCTACCTGGAGGCGGCCGATTCCCCAATACCCTGTTTCGAGCTCGTCAGCATAACATCGGTGCTCTTCAAGCCTCTCAATCGCATCCTCCATTTCATACAGTCCCCATGGCGAAAGAGAGCACCAATTGTCGTCGTCTAAAGACTGCGCTAAATCATTTGCGAAGCTCGTCTTCGCCTTGAGCTTGAACTGACGTGTTTCTTACCGCAGTGCTGTGTCGATCTATGGCGATGGCTATGACACGCTTCTTCGTCTTGGACCTTTTGCTCAATGAGTTTATGCATGGTGTCTGTAAGAAGAGCTGCCCTTCTGTTGACGCACCATCATAAAGATGATGGGTCGTTGCCGGAGTCGAGCGCTGTTAAAGCACTCTAGCAGAACGCTCGGCCGAAAGATCCGCTAGAGGTGTCTTGAATCTCCATCCATCGGACAGCAGAAAGGTCGTACTTGGGTCAAGTGCCGTCCGTGCCCCCAGACGGAAAAATTATTTAGCACTGAAATCGTGGGTCTCTAAGAGTCCCCTTTTGAGATCTCCTTTCAGGCACTCCTTGTACGGGACACATTCGCCCTCGACAAGCCCCCCACATCGAGCAACTATCTCATCCGGCACAACAGCTACCGCTAGCCTGGCAGACATGGTGAGGGTCCAGTGTGTCCTTGCCATAAATTCTGTTGTTGAAATGCTTGGGGCACAGTTCTCCCCCGTCAAGGTGGTACTGCGCTATTGGACGTTTGTCCGCTGTCCGCTGTCCGCTGGCATAAGTTGAAAAGTCTCTGCATAGGCGGGATATCCGTACCTTCATGGCACCGACATCGTGATAGTCGTGCTCGTCATCGCCAAAGAGTGTGTATATTCGACGCCAATTATGGAATTTGCCTCAATACTGTCATATTCAGGGTTGGGAATTGCAAGGTCATTCATGATGGTTGCGAGTAAAGTCCCACTACACCGGCCCCTATAATGCAGACCCTTTGACTTCCTCCGTGTCTGCTGGAGCATCCATCATGACATTTTTAACATCTCATAAGAAAATGAGCGGTCCCCGTTTCTGGTCGAGGTTTGGGGTATCTCGTTCTCCAAAAAGGGATCAGGAGGTAAGTCATCCGAGGTATATGAATCGTTGCCGAGGGATAGAGTTCCGGCTTGTTATGCCTTGCAGGTATTGAAATCCTTCGCCAAAGTTTCTCGGACGCAAATTCAAGCATAGAGGCTGTTGAACGATACTTGATCACTTCGTGTATCTGGACCAGGTGACTTGAGTGTGCGCAACTTCTTGGCAGCTGACGCGTAGCGACACAAATGTCGATAAAAGAAGTTGGACCATGTCTTCTCTTCAGTCATGACTATAAAACGTTGATTTATAACCTGTCCCTAATATCATGCCTAATGCAATCCGCTCACGCTCGCATGATCGGTATAGAGTACAGAGAGCTTGGGTTCGCTGCCATATTACACTTCTTGGTTTGACGACGGCCCGCTCGAGGTGCTACCTCAGCGAGATTCTGACTACATGTTTCTGTAGTCTGCATTAGACGCGCCGGCGGCCCGCGATATACCTCACCCGCGCGGCCTACTCGCCGTTGCCTTCACTTTTCGGAACACGACTTGACAAGTTCACGCATGAACCGATTCTAACTGCGTGTTTCTCAACTGCCGGGAACGCGTGCGAGCACGATCAAACAACATGTGTACGACTTTATCCAAGACCGCGCGTCAGCGTTTCCTGGCCGTTATCCATGGGTTTATTTTCACCCGCTGTTCATGTCCCGTGCTTGACAGCTAGGTCCAAGGCTCGACGCCTCGCAGACAGTTCGCAGTGGTGACACTCGATAACCGTTCCTTTTGTCTTGGAGACTTGATAGAGGGCATAGCAGCCAACGGTTTCCGCGGATTCATATCCATTGCGATGTTATTATTTCAAGATCAAAGATCAAGGAATAGCAAATATTCGAGGCATGTTGTCTTGATGTAAACACAATTCAGTCCATAATTGACGAGCCATCCTGAGAGCAGTACCAGCATTGTCCAGACAAGGGCAACATGACTCGACTACATCTGACCCGAAGGCCCATATAAAAGTCATGCAGCTACTACCCGGTTGAACTCAAGTAACGCTGTACGAAGTAGAATTTGGGTGACAAGGGCTTAATATAACGGCTTGAAGCGGAATGACTCTATTTAATAATAATCTCATTAGGATATCAAACGTCCTTAATTTCCAAGGGAAAGGAAGGGACAAGTAGCCATTATGTATACATGAAACGAACAGCTATACTTGAGTGTTCAGTCTACGTAACCTTTGGGTCTTATATCGGCGATGCCCCTTTATTAGGCGGTGTGGTTATTGCGCTTTGACCGTGTAACAAAGCCGATGCAACTTGTTCACAAGATGCCCAGAGGACAAGCAACACCCGAGTCAGATGACACTTTCTCAAAGGAACAGTCATGAAGGGAATATGGTAAGATTGCTGAATAAGCACCAACTACCTCCGGTCTACCTGCTACACACCCAACACAACAGAAGTTCCTTGGATGAATCCTTGTTCAAGGGAAATGGTAGGCTGATGAGCGTGCCGATTGACCCAGAGATTGCCAAGTTCGGCCCGAACCTTCTTTACTCTACAGCCTTTCAACGTTTCGACCACTTTGTGCTCGCCGGCGACAAGTAGCGCCGCATGTTTCGTGGAATTAAGCCATGCGTCTGCATTTAAGAGCATCCCAGCCTGCATCCTGCGCTCATGACTTGTCTCAAGCGCACTTTCCTCAAGGTCCAAACGATGTACTAGGTCAAGAATACAGAGGCAAGGATAGCAATATGTAAAGAGAAACAAATATCCCCTGTCGCCGAAGCCAGAAAACACCTACAAAGGCAAATGAAATGCTGTTGGCGCCGACCAGTTGAACGTGTCCATGGCCAAGATGGCACAAAGAGAAACAAGCTTGACGTCGTGGCATCCAATCCAATCATCTGTACCTTTTGTTGTCCCGTGCCACGTTGTAAGCACACATTTTTCGTTGGTATTCGCTAGTTCTACAAAGCAAACTGGTCACTCCTTGGCCTTGTTGTTTTCCCGACTGCTCATCAAGCCGTTCACAAGTCTGGCAATACCATGATGGGAATATCTCGTTGTCAGTTCAAGTAGAGAGTGCGTAACTATTCGGTAGGGACTGACTGGTGAAGAAGAAGAAAAGAAAAGAAAATACATCATCGGTTAACCATTGAGCGAAAACTTGCGCATTGATCAACCCGCGGGCCTGTAATCCGCCGTCACATCCTGATGATCCTTCCTCCGGCGCTTGTCTGTGCCCAGCTGCAGATGCCATTGCTGGCGCTTCCGCCCTCCATCTCGTCGTGGTGTCCGGCGTTGTTGGTTATAGAGCTCACTGCCTCGTAGCTCCCCTCACACATGCTTGGATGATTGATGAGATTTTGCAAGCTCCTCCTTCATCAATTCGAGAGCATTAGCAATTCCAGCCAATTTAAGCCGATAAAGTCCCACCGCCCAGACGTCTGCCGTCTCCTCATCATCGTCGGACTGCTCATCGACATGGGACGCTTCAGATGGCTTAAATTTTTTCCATGGGGTTACACCCAGCCAGCATGAAGCAAGCACCAGAAGATCCTTAAGGCCAATTTTGTACGCGACTGCGTACAACTGTATCATGCGCTCCGTAGTTGCTTCGACACCAATTTGGCCTCCGGGACGGGTTCCAAGTTGGGTTCCGGAATAGGCTCCCAGCAACGCCTCAAACGATGCTGCCGTATAAGCGTCCTCGCGGTTGAAATTGTATTTTATCAAAAAACTGCAGAGGAGTTCAGCGACCTCCGGAGTGGTGTCCCCAAGATCGAGGACGCTTGTAATATTCTCCTGGGGATCAATTCGGGTGTGACCATCGTGACGAGACTCTTGCGTGTCTTCACATGGCTGCATTGCATTTCTAACTCTCTTACCATGATTTTTGAGCAAAAACTCGGGCACGCTTTTGAATGGCTTGCCAACACCATATGTAAGGAGACATGACCTCACTGAAGGTTGAACAGTTCTTACAGCAACGTCAGAATAAGCGCCTTGGGGTTGTGTGGAAATGGATATGTCTACAGCTTACCTGTTTCCTCTTTCATCATCGCCCCGGTGTGGCCGGACAGGGGAAGCGCTAGTTTCGCGTTGCTGCTGCTTGCCTTTCCGCTTCGGCATGGTGTTGTGCTCGAAACGGCGTGATTGATGCTGAATATGTGGAAAGATTTTGGTGGAGGTGTTGAAGGTGTTGAAGGTGTTGAATGTGAGGAAAGAAGTTGGAGCACTTTCACGGAATGAGCGACGTCTCATATAGATGAATTCTTGCCCCATGGGATATTGAACTCGATATTCCACGCAATACGGCACATCAGAGTGTTGGACATGTTCACAATGCGTTCCAAACAGCTCGAAGATGGGTGTAACACGAGCTGCATATCCCTATACACGCCAAGAATAGCACACAACTAAACCAGCTTCTTTGTCCGCCGTGTTCATCCATCATGTCGGTCCGAAATGATGCAATTCCACGCCACGGGATCCCCCAAGTCAAACATGCTCGAGGTGCGCTTACCCATACCCGCACCGACACGTCCACATGAGCCATTCCAAGCTCCCTGGCCAGGTGGCTCTGACGCGTCCTTTTCATTGTTCACGTCTTGTTGCTAAATTGTACAAACGGAGTTCATGTCCTCTACACGTCGAAAATGTCACCGATACCCTCGCCCCCACCCCTCCTAATGTCGACAATGTCCAACCTCCAGCCCTCCCAGTGCTTCAGAGTTCGCTTGATCTCTTTGATCCTCTCCAGTCGCTGTTTTGACTCCTCCTCTTGGGCCTTGCGGAAGGCGTCCTCGTCAAAGTCAAAGTCGTCGTCATCCATCAGCTCGTGTTCAGCACCTGCTCCTCCTCCACCAACACCACCACCGGCCAAGGCATTAAGCCCGTTGGTGAGGAACTCACCGAAACCACTGGTCGAGTGTTTTCTTTGTGACGAGTGACCTATCGAGCCTCCGGAAAGGTCCACGTCATGGAAGCCGGTGTTGGTGGCCTCCATTTCTCGGCGTTTCTCGATCCATGCCCCGCTTCGCAGTTCGTGCACTTCGTGTTCAAGACTTCGAATCTTCTTTTCAAGTCGTAATCGCTCTTCGTTCTCAAGCTCGTCCACGCCCTCATCATCAAGTCCGCCACCGCCCTCTGCCGACTTGCGGCTGCGAAGTTTCTGGTTTTCGCTCTCCAGCTTCTCCACCTTGGCTTTCAGGTCCTTTGCGTCCTTTTCGGCACGCTCCTTGTCCTTTCGCAAGGCTTGAGACCTGGAGTCCTGCTCCTTGTGGATGGTGGTCAGTGTGGCCACTTTCTTCTCCAACGCATCAATCTTGACCTCCATGTCAGACTTGGCCTTTGTTGTTTCCTCCAGCTCGTGTTCAAGTGTCTTGACTTTTACCTCCGCGCTTGAACGCTCACTGCCCTCACGGACTGCTTTATCAGTTGTTCTCTCGAGATTGCGTTTTACATCCTGCAATTCTCGCTGTGCCTTGCCTGCAGCCGCTTCGGCCCGAGCAAGCTTGTCTTCGAGCGCATTTACTTGTTCTTTTTCTGTTTCAGCGCCAGTTTCCTGTCGCTGCACCCGAGCTTTCAAAGTGGAGATTTCAATTTCCATGGACTCTATGGTGGACTTCTTCGCGTCGAGTTCGGCCTGCAGCTCTGAAAGGGGGGTAGCAATAGAAACCGAGGCCCGATGGCCATGGCCCGAGCCTCTCGAGACTTGTTGCTGCAATTGCGTGTTTTGTCGTTGAAGTGAAGCAATTTCGCTTTTCTATACCAGTGTGTCAGCATCATATGATGTCCGCCCCTCGTTGGGCCAATTCACTCACCAACTGCTCCGTTTCATTATTTGCTTTGCCCTTCGCCGAAGAATCACCATCGGCTTCACGGAGCTCAGCGAGCTCATCCTCCGCCTTCTTCCATCGTTTTTCCGAGTCCGAGAACTCTTTGGATAGTTTCCTATTCTCCTTCTCTAAGTCCTCGATGCGAGCGACCTGCTTCCTGTAAATCTCTGGCGCGGTGTCACCATCGGGGCTGAACGGGCCTGGAGAAGTCGTTCCAGTCGCACCAGCACGGAACGATGTTGATCTCATCTTCGACTGTTGTGCCAGCGATGGAGTCGTCGACGGCGATTGATTGTCTGCCTTTTCGTCCTCAACCGCCCGGTCGTTGCCTGCGGCGGCTTCCCCTCCTTTGTCTTCGGCCGGATCTGCGGAAGGCAGTTCGGACGATTCAGCCCGCTCTTCGGCATTTGGGGACGCGGTTTCGGGGATTTCGTCTTCTTCTTTGGCGTCGTCTTTCTTGGCAGCCTTTTTGCCCTTCTTTTTCTTCATTTGTTCGACCTATACCGGCAATTAGAAGCTATGCGAGATGGGCAGGAGCGGGGGGGCCAGCACGCTTACGCGCTTTCTTGCCGCGGCGATCTTTTCCTGGCGCGCCTTTTCCTCTGCGTCGGCCATTTTGAGTGCTAATTGGCGTGCTGAGAATCAATTCTGTGCGCGAAATATAGCTTCTCGAGTTCAAAGGTCGAGGATGATTGCATCGAAGTTACGGAGGGCTGGCGAGACCCGATCCGGATAGGTGGCCACAGCTTGGCTTGCTCTCTCAGCTATTGGCGGCACGCAGCGACGTCAGCAGGTACTAGGTAGTCAGAGGTGGAGCTAGTCAATACCGGGATTGATGACAACAGAATGCCGATATTGCCAAAAAAAAAAAAGAAAAGAGAAAAAAACAAGCTTGGCTCGTGAACAATTCGATGTTTATCGCGCCGGCTCAACTTGATTTCATAATGCCGCGTGGCTCTATGAACGAACCGAAGCGGCAATCTGTTAATCTGACACCCGCCAAGGTCGCTCCTGCCTTCATGTGCTGCTCAGACCACAGCGCAGAAGAGTCAGAGAGGGCAAAAAGGTGGTAGACCAGCGATGGTGCGAACATTCGCAGTGAATCACAAACGGACTACACGCCATCATCATGCCTCGTCAACCTGACTCTCAGCTGCTATGTGGAGAGTCTGAGTTGAATCAGCTCCATCTTTGAGAGCATGAACTGGACAGAAGGAGCGCTTGCCCGGGCCCCGAAGAATAGGAGAAGACACGAAGAGCTGTCGCGGCAACAAGAGTTTTTTGCTAAAGCTCGGATGCGGCATGCCGCAGAAGCCAAATTGACAGAGGCTGCACGTCCTCATCAAGGCCGACCCGCTGTGATCTTTGACATAGAAGATCGGCAAAACACTGCAGAAACCCCGACCGGAAGATGTGATGGGACAAGACCGCATTCGGTTCAGAAAAGGCCCCGGGATGGTTCAACGGCGAGCCCATCACCGCGATTAACTCTCGCTGTAGACTCGCCGGCACAGCAGGAGAAAGCACCTTGGCCGCGCAATGCAAAAGAGGTCAATGTACCCACGGATGCTGCCGATATGAAAACCAAGAAGCAGAGGCTGCTGAGAAAGGACGACTGGACGGGAATATCCCTTCAGAAATCCCTTACCATAGATTACCCGCAACCCACAAAGATGCAGCACGGTAGTGTACGCCGAAACCCACGCAAAGCCGTTCATGTTGGAGCAGCCAGAGGAACGACTACCAGGTCGAACGCTGAAGACATTCGGGTCTGCGTTGGGAGTCAGAATTTCAGATAGAGTCAGAATGGCAACTCCCTCAGAAGCCTCAAAGGGTCTCAATACCAGCCATCCACTATGTCTTCACAAGCATCTCAAAGACAAGATGTAAGCAAAGTTCTGTTATCTGGAAGACTTGGCAACTACCACCACCCATCAGCTACCGCAGACCCATCTGTGCCGGCTCATTCATCTAGTCTAAGCAACCGGTCTAGCGGCTCCAGGAGTCTGCAGCATCTGTGGTGGTCAGATCAATCCTGCAGCACAACCAGTTCAGTACCTCGCGATGACGGGTCTCCCCAGTCACTATACCACCCACGGCCACAACGGTCGGTTAACATATCAAGCCTTCTTCATGTAAAATCTCCTCGTCCAGAATCGGGGTTGAGTGTGAGAGCGCAGAATGGCAGCCAAGGCACATTCGACATGTTTCCCTCTCACGACATTGAGCGAAGTGTTGACAGATTCAACTATGGATATTATAATTCTTTAGGTATAAGCCTGCCTCGAGATTCGCCCAAGTATACAAAGCGTCCTGAGCAGCGCAACGCTCAACTAAGACATATGAATCCCCCATACACAGCCCATGGTCCCCGAGTACCTGCGGCGGCCCCAAGAGAACTGGACACAGACGGCGAACTCGTCCATGCAGGAACAAAGTATCCGTATTTCCTCTCCGCAAATGGACAACCCTATCCGCAAACATTAGCAGCATGCGGCTCTTTAGCATCGATATACCACCCCTCCCCCTCCAGTAGCTTGACAGACGATAACCTTTTGTCCATGCCACTACCCGGCAGGCTCGATACACAAGACCTCGTGGACATCTTACAAGAATCCAACCAGTACAAACAGCATCGCAATCAAGGCAGTACTATCCTCAACAACCTGCCAGCTCGTCCGCATCTGACTCAAGACATTTCCGGCACCGAAACAAACTACCAAAGTGCTCTCGAGAGTTCCGGACCAAGCATCCCAGCCCTAATGGCCAGCAACACCACACAATACCGGTCATCGACCCCCGAAACACCAAACACCAAACCATATCCAATCCGCCCATCATCCGCTAGACGAAAATCCCTATCGACCGACACCCACCCTCCAGCGTTAAAGCCGGCTAACGCCAAACCCGACGTCGTATACCGCCAGCCCCAACCCTTCGTCGGCAAGCTAGCTTCCTCCGAGACACAGCATGCGCAATTGTTGACCAGCCGTGCGCGAAAACGGACGTCGAATCGCCCTGATATTCGGGCATTGCCAAATCACGACCAGGATCCAATCGAGTGATTTCGTCGCGTCACTGTGCCTCCCCGGTTACATGGATGTCAGGTCAAGGAGGGGTACGGAGTAAGGGGAGGGAAATTGAGTAAATCACAGCGTTATCCATCGGAGCGGACCGCATCCACCTGATCTATCATATCACAGCGTCTTCGCAGCATAATTCAAACATTATCAGTTCTGATCTGCCTCAGTCCATCCAGTATCCAGATCAGTCCAGTTCGCGTAATGCCTGAATGCCTGACAAGGCTGGCGCGAATAAGCACAGCCCCGAACGGCTACTAACCTGTTGGCCTGCTGGCCTACCCATGCGCCCCACACACAACACCGCCACCTCGAGCTTCTAGAAGACTTCCCTCCCCCTTCCCAATCGTTCGGGCGCGGTCCACATCGCATGAGATCCAGAGAAACATTTGACCCTCTCTCTTTTTTTGCCGTGGTGGCGGTGTGCATCACACTGCCAAACGGGATAACTACAATTGAGCGCGAAGTGGCCGGTTTGGAACTCCTGGGTTTCCGGCAAGCCAGTCCCTACGATGCTCGATGCAAGCCTGGTTTCGGTAAGTGTAAAAAAGATGCGTAGAGGGGGTGCCTTGACTCGGCAGTGGCTACTGGTGGGATTGTGTCTTGGTGGCACACCACTAGGCATGTCAGATGGTCTCTTGTCTCGGTTTTTTCTTGTTGGTGCCATGTTGGATGCCATGTGTATATTGGTGATTCATGACTTGATACGGCTGCTGAAAAGTCGACTCATGAAGTACATTTTATCACGATGCGTTTGGATGCTATCACAAGGAAGACAGGTGAACATGGCCATTGAGTCACACTTTTTGCGGTGGAGATTGTGCAGTATATTTATGTATATTCTATGTATATGTCGTGCTCAATTATTCCTACACCTTCTTTCATTTCTACTTGTGCACCATGGCGGAGCTCCAGGCTGCCTCGCGACGTATATACATTGGTATCTATCTTATTGGAGGGGGTTGTGTGACACAAAACTGGCCAGCAATTTCGGTGGTCACATTCAAGCCGCTATAAGGCGATCAAGCCAGCCTCATCGAGGTTGCAAACCAGGGCGGGCCAATTATTGAAGCAGCGCGCAAAAGTGTATCCGCAAAAGAACGAGATAATGGCGCCATTAGCTTCTGCGACGAGCCTCCTTACGCTTCGGTTGACACGTAGTCTTGCAGTAGGGGCACTCGTAGCCGTCTTGATTAATGTAGATTCTCTTTAGGCACTTTGAGCATCGCCACCAGGTTGAGGAGACTCGTCGGTCTTCCAGCCATTCCTCGTTGATGGACCCGCCGCGCTTCTCAATGTCTTCCTTGTGGAATTCACGAAGATGGTCACGGAAGTGGTCTAATCGATGGAATGGATCGCGACGGCGAGAGCACCGTGGGTAGTCGCAGTTGAACGAGACCTTTTGTGACTCTGAGGCATGGCGGTGCTTGTAGTGGCGGTCCAGGTCTGCTCTGCGTTTGAAGGGTTTGGCGTTACAGCCTGGATAAAGGCAACAGACGGGGTAGTCACGGCCGCTTTGTGATCTGTACAGTTAGCATTTGGGACTGGAATCGAGGACCATGAATATGACGTACAATGACTTGGATCCTCGGTCTTCAGATGATGGTCGTGGAGAAGGGGTGTCTCGGTCGACATCCAGATTAGGGGAAGAATAATATAACGCCGTTGCGGCCGAGGACGGGCTTAACTGATGATGTTTGGGGCTAGGAAAACTTCCTGTTGACGATGGGCTCTGGAAACTAGGATGCAGTCCGTTCAGCATCGGCGACACGGACATGGGAGAATCATCAACGCTCCCGCTTTCGGAGCGACAGGTACGTGATGACGAATCCGCTTGGTCATACTGTGGCGTGGTCCGTGATGAAACCTCGCTCTGCGGCATGTATAGCGAACTCGTATCATAATTTTGCCCAAATGAATATTCCAAGTGTTGAATCTTTAAGCCCTGAGCAGTGTCCATCTCGAATGATCCCGGAGACGCTCGGTCGACTTTATTGTACGCAAGGAGGGGATGATGCTGTCTTTGTTTCCTGGTGTAGAGAATATACTCGGTCATGGGACAGAGTTGTCGATGTAATAATTATTCGGAGAACATAAATCCGTCGAAACAAGGCTGTCTCGACAGATTCTAACTGAAATTATGAACAAGAAATCACCTTTGCGCTATCAATGCGGAGAAGAGAGGGACTGAACACTTCCCCAATATAAGAGTTCACTGAGTTCACTTTTAAATCTGCGCTTTGTTCAAAAGGGGGAGGAACCTCCTAGGGCTGACCAACGACAGGTAGTTAATGTGATCAATCAAAAGGACACACCATGGGCTTAAGTAACAACAATTCTGCGAGGGTAGAAGAGCCAAAACGAAGCGTCAAAGGAAAGCAAGGGCTTTCTAGAATGTGGAACCCTGGGGCCCGTTCAGGGGATGTCTATGTATGTACGGAGTATGTTTGTAGATATGATGTAGACGGGCATGATGAACAAGGGGACATTTAAGGCTGTGACCCGGCCGAGTGGGAATCAGGGTCAGAGGCCAACAGGCCATATCGATGGAGACGAGATTCGAAAATGATGTGAGCAATACGTATGGATCCCGGCTTATGATTCCAATGTGAGTCAAACGCTCTTTTCTGGTGCGGAGACGCAATGCCACGGCACAAACCACAGAACAGCGTCCCAAGTTGACCAGAGCAGAAAGGGTGTAAGAGCTCCCGCTGGCAGACTTCTAGGCTGCCGTCTGGAGGAGACAGATAGGGTGATAGGGCAGGACAGCGTGGGTGCGTATGGTCCAATGCAAGGACAAGGATGCCTGAAATGCAAAGGCAGGACCAGGGCCCCTTCGAGAGTGAGGCTAAGCCAGGTCAGATACTGGCCAATACTTGACGACAAGATGCAGCAATGCTCTCGATTCGGAATCGTCCAAGGGAAACATGGCTGCAGCTCCGAGACGAGAGCGCATGGGCTGGTGGGCCAATAAACGGCTAGGGCCAACGCTGTTAGCCTTACGGGTCATCTTAGGGCTGACGAACCGAGGGCCGTCCATGACCAAGTTATGGGGAGTGTTTGACAGCCGCTTTTCCGACCATGAATAACCATTGGCAGGCGTGTATCATTGAGAAAAGAGTCGGAAATGAACTGCGGAGATGCCGTCAGACCAAGGGAACTCGAACACGAGTTTCCCGCTTCTGGGAACCGCGTTGTCCATGTAGCCAAATCGGATCAGTACAGGCATCGACAAGGGCCGTGTTTGTACCAAAGTTCCAGATGTCTCTATCGCAGGGACTCGAGGAGGTGTCCGCTGGCGACCTACCTTGGTAGGTAGGCGTAATGTTCAGCCAACGGTTCGGACAAGCAGTGCGGCACAAGCGAGTACATGGGTACCTAACAGTAGTTAATCCCTAGCGCCAAGGCGGAGTTTCCGAGCCAGAGAGTTTATGAGTGAACTTGGGGGGGTGACAAAAGTGAACACCCCTCCAGATTGATAGCAGAGTTGTGTGCGAGCATAGCTCGCAGAATTGAGACGCTCAGTGACTTGTCAGGAGCTATTTAGACGGGGTGGACAAGGGTGGGAACCGTAGTGCTCAGTAGGCTCTAGGGGGACGATGGCAAACACTGGATCAGTACTGTACTTGCTCTGATAAGGTTTTCGCTTAGGGAGTGATATCATCCCCTTGAGTACCAGTTCACCGTAATGATCTGCCATACCTGTCGACAGACCACTATGTCTGGCCCCTGTACATGGCCTCTTGTCATCTTATGACTATCCGCCGCAGCGTAAAACAGGCCGTAGCTTGTTTGAGTGCGACAGTGTGATGTGATCTTGTGCAAGGCTCTGCTGTCGTCATTGTTCCTCTGCCGCTTGGGAACAGTGGATTGAGATATGCATGTCATGTCCACATGAATGTTGAGCACGGCTGCTGTATTGGGTTTCGACACCGACGACACGGCGGTCTGTGTGAAACCAAAGCAAACCTCACCAAAGTGTAGTTTTTAACGAGGTGGACGAGTTCCAGGGAGACTAGTCACGGCCATGAACGACGCTGCTGACTACAGGCTGGCGCAAATTTGTAGTGCTTCGAAGCCATTTCGTGGGGTCCGCTTTTGGTCTCGTTCCCTCTCACAACGGCGACTATGATCGACGGCACGGCTTCCAGTCGACAGGTTGGTACCCCGTACATTGCGTTTCTCTGCATCGTCAGCCACTGCCGTGGTATGTCTACCAAGTACACATGGGCGAGGACAAGGATGAGGCATCAAGAAGGGGGGGGCCAAACCCGGACGGGCTACCTACCAATCTGCATGCTCCGTACGAGTTATGTCCTGAAGAGAAACCAGTGAGCCTGACGAGGTGCCTGGCCAATGCGGTCACCAATGGGCCGAGGCCATCGGTGCGACCGTCGCAGCTCACCCCCCAGACCTCGCAGAGCCGCAGCCACGGGTCTTGTCGGTGTCAGCCGTGGAAAGTGTCGTTTAGATGAGCACAGGGGCCTTTTAGGCGGAGGCGAGGAGATTATTGGGACCATTAAAGATTAACTAGATGATGTAAATCATGTCGTTTATCGCAGGGCTCCTTGCAATCATGTGTTTGCTGGTGAACTGTGCGTGAACCAATTGACTAATATGCACCTGATGCCAAGCAAGGAAGTCAGCACCAGCTGACGACAGTGAAGAAGGAAGGAACACTTCTGGTCTGAAATGTACCCTTGCCGAGTTATGGTTCCGTCCGCTACCACACCCAGCCCTTGCTCAGATGGCTGCGCGTCATCACATCACACAACCCAGCCCCATCTTACCTGAACTTGCCTACTGAGGCATTCGTACAAGCATTTTACGCCACTAAAATGCTTGGCCCACGTGAGCCAGGTTGCTCGGGAGAACTATTACGGTATGCATTTTCGAATATGTTTAGCCTGTGCGATTAATTGAGCGCGAGCTTCCCTCGGTTGCCGATCACAGTGCCGTGGCGCCTAACTTAATACTTTTGCCGATTCAGGCTGCTATTCAAAACACCTCGTTTGTGTCTCGTCAGCTTACACAGCGGCCTCCTCACGCACACCGTATACCTACCTATTCGTGCCACCGTGATAAGCCTATAATTGACACAGCATGATAGAGTCACTGTGCGACACAACAAGCACCTTAAAGCATCTGATCAAAAACCGGTCCTGGTTCATCAATTGACCAAAAAAATAATAGCAAACACTATATCCCCTAACCCAATGTAGCCTACCACTACATCAATTGCCTCTAAAACACCGAGCCGAGAGAAAACAGGATCAAACATTATAATCAAGATACAAGCGGCAATTGGGATGCGACGGCATGCTGCCGACATCACACCTCGTCCTCGAGGAATTTGTAAGCAAACTTAAAGTCTGCCTTTCTGCGGTTCATCCTGCTCGCGAGTGTTAGTCGACCACGCCACCAACATGATATTGTTGAGTGTAGGAGACACGTACCAGGTGCTTTCATAGTCGAAGAAGCGATATGTCCCTTGCTCAAACTCCTCCGTGATGTTCTTGGGCTCCTCATGTCGCTGGAACCACGTCTGATATTGCTTGTGGAATCGCCAGCTTTGATCCTTGAGTGCTTTAGCGGCGAGATACTGCTGAGCAGTTCCCTGCTTATAGTAGAAGACGTAGAACAGAGTGTCAGGATCTATCCTCGCGTAAAGACGAGGGTCGTCAAAGATGGGCAGCGGTTCACGAGGAAAGCCAGAGCCTGTTTGAGGCATAGGGACATCGGGTCGGTAATTCCGAGGGACGTCGGCATCTACCGCGTCTGGTAATGCCGCTTGGCTGGCCGCCATCAGTCGCAATGTAGACTGAGCAGATGGGTGCAGTGGCCGTTTTCTTGATGCTTCATAAGAATCGACTAGATCTTGCAATGATGAAGGTAAGTGGTAAATGGACTCCTCTGTTTCCTCCACAATCGGCTTTATACCATTGGTGGTCCCATTTGCCTGGGCTATAATTGACCTTCAGTTAGCACCTAGAACAAGGCGGGCAAAGGTACCACCAGATCTCACCTGTTGAGCCTTCCGCGTGCTGGGCAACAGCAGGCTGCTTCCCTGGACCCTTCTTCTTGGATGGCCTCGTCATGATGGAAATCTCGGGCTCCGCTGGGGGAGCCGGGCCTTTCGATTCGGAGCCTGTTGCTGGCTGTGCCGGAGCAATAGCTGGGGAATTTGTCGCACTTGTTCTTGGCTGGACTGGCGGCAGAGGTGATATCCCCACGCTGGATCCTGGCGGTGGCGGCAACGGTGCAATACCTACATTGCTCTTATCGCTTGCGGCAGCGGCAGCGGCGGCAGACGCGTACTTGAGACCCTCTCCTGCTGGTCTTGCAGGCGCAGCAGCTGGCTTCATTGACGAATTTGCAACACCACCGGTGCTTGTTGAAGATAAAGGAGTGTGCAGTGTAGCGAGTGCCGGCAAAGGGGATCTGGTTTGGGATGAGGCTTTCCGCGCCGAGGCATCGATCTCTTTGGGTACTTTTCTCGAAGGTTTTGACGACAGTTCGGGCTCGGGCATAACCTCGTCTTGAACGGATTGTGCATCCTGGGATGAACTCTTTTCGTTCTCCTGGACCATACCATACGTGCCTTCTTCGTCCTCCAGATCCAACTCGTCGTATATGCCCTCGTCTTCCATGAAGTCGTCATTCATATTATCCGAGACATAGTATCGAATGTTCTCCTCCATTTCATTTACCTGTTCTGTCTCGACAGCACCGTTCTCCAAAGACCTTCGAATCAGTTCCAGCTTTCCTTGGTGCCATTTATGTCTTTCTATTACTCTGTCGATCTCGGCCATTCGTTCAGCCTTGGCAGACTGGCCCTTGCCCTTTTTCATCGTCGCCTGTATAGATTCGCTTTCGGCCTCTAGGGATTCAATTTGTTGTTCCAGGTCGTCAACCATATTACTCAAAAATTCGCCAGCTTCAACCTTTGCTTGTTCCTTTGGATCCAGCTTGGCCGCTGCCGATAGACCTTCTTTGGAGTAAGCTTTGGTTTTCATAGCCTTCTCGACCGCTTTGAACTTTTCCATTTGCTAAAACATAGGCGTGCGAGGTTAGTTTTTCATTGATCAAAGGTGTGCTTGTGTTACAATGGTACATTGTTGGGCACCAACCGTCTCGATGAGTTTGCGGTGCTCTAATAAAGGAGCCTTGTCCTTGATATCGTTGCTCGCTGCCCATGTTTTGATCTGATCACGCAACCGCTGGAGCTTCTTGATCTCGCGCTTGAGGTTGTCCTCGAGCTTTTCCTTCTGGGCTGGGTTGTTCGACTGCTCGATTTTGTCGTAGATTGCTTCGAATTCGGCCACGCCCTCGGCCACCTTTTTGAAGCACTTGTCGACTTCTTGCTGCAATTTCCTCGCCGCCATTGTTTCGACAGTGAGGAGCTTCCGAGCCCCGAGCCCCGCGCTCTTTGCCCGATCGTAACGATTTTTGGGCTTGGGATTAGTTCGAGCGTCGCCTTATAGTTACCCCAAGCGTGGTGAAAAAAGTCAGCTACGTGGAGCTTCGGATGCACACGTCGGGTAGATAGAAGAGGATGCCCTCGAGCGTCGGTGCGGCGTTGTGAAGTTGTTACTGATGCTCTCTGCCTCTGGTCCGGCTGTGAATGTGGTCGTTAGCCTGGCGTAATTCTGTGGGAGTTGGATCTGAATGGACGTGACGGGCTTAGAGATTGGAAGGAGAGGTCACAGCCTTGTGGCTGACTAGCGGAGGCTTGCACCTGCATGCGCATCGACGTTAGCGACTAGCAAATTTGCCAACAATCAATGCGTAACAAAAGAATAGATGTGATGTCAAATTTTAATCAGTTGCTTCATAAAGTAGCTACTAAAATTAAAGATCCTAATTTAAAGTCTTGAATCAAGTTTCAGAACAATTAATTATCGGCGTGCTTCGAGAAACACTATCTATGAGTACCCAAGCTGGCAAACCAGCTGCTAGCCAGACACGCACTAGCGATCTCACATGACATGGGCACTCCCATGGATTGGACCAGTCGATGGATCAAATCATGAAAGGCTGAGCCTTCGTATCATTAGTGGATGTAACCAAGCATATCACTCACACCAGAAACTGTTCCGTTGCCCTCTTTTTAAGCCATATCCATATCAGCATTGCACATGGCCGGCCTTGGTTTTGCGGTTTGGTGGTAATTTTGCGACGTTTCCTGATGCAATTTTGCGAATTTCTTTTCGTGCTTTTCGTCGAGTTTAATCTAATTACAGCTACTTACCTATCTGGCGCATTCTCACCATAGACATCATGAAAGGTATGTTCCACAACCCAGTACTGAACCTGCTTCTCTAATGTAGTGCTTCCGTACAGCTATCATTCAACGGGTCCTGTCTGCGTCTGTGACGGTGGACAGAGAGGTCATTTCGTCGATTGGGCGTGGGGTGCTCGTTTTCGCAGCCGTGGCGCCTGGTGACTCAGAAAAGGAGGCACAGCAGATTGCCAACAAGGTCATCAAAATGAAACTTTGGGACGATGACAAGGGAGGAAGGGTGAGTAGTATTATTGACTTCTGTGTTACCATGCCGTACCAGTGCTCTATTTTTATGTTGTCGCTAACTGGCTTAATAGTGGAAGAAGAGCGTTATGGACATTAATGGAGAAGTGCTATGCGGTACGTAGCTCTGCGGATTTGCCGAGAGGAGGAAAGCTTGTTTTTTTGACTGGGTTCTGATGGCGATGCCCAGTCTCGCAATTCACTCTCCTCGCGCGCACGAAGAAGGGAACCAAGCCCGACTTTCACGGCGCTGCGGCACCGGAAGAGGCACAGCGGCTATACCACTACTTTGTTGACCAATTGAAGGCGGGATACGACGTAGAGAGGGTTAAGGACGGCAGATTTCAAGCCATGATGGAAGTGGCATTAGTCAATGATGGTCCGGTACGTGGCTCTTTCGTTTGTCTGTGTGATGACTGCCTCGGACGGATGCAACTAACAATTTAACAGGTTACTCTTGAATTGCAAGCGGGAAGCCAAAACAACGACAAGTCCGAATGAGAGACTCGTCCGCCAGAGCCAGTGATATCAAGGCCGAAAGCATCATATAAGATACAAATGTATAAAAACTAAATTAGTGGGATGGGATTAGCATTGGCTGGGAGCCCATTGTTTACTGTCGTACGAGGATGAATATTACAGGCAAGGAGGATTTGGTCATGAATAGAATATGCTGGATGGCGACACAAAAATAGCGACATGGATTAGAATGTATGTAAAAAATTAGAAACCGTCGTCGCTTCTGTCGACACGCGCATGTATTTGCCTATTGCTCGCGATGGCGTTGGCGTGCACAAGTGCATTCCGTGCACGGCAAGTCAGCTAGAAACTTCCACAGCTCCAACTGGGAAGGTGCAACCCCACCAGCGGATTTTAAAGCCTTCTTATCTTGAATCCACCTCCACACGAACGAAGCTCGAATCCGATGCAACGAGCTCATCCCGATCTCACTTGATCCCTTTCAAGCGCCAGGCAATCCGCATTGCATCACTGACCTCAATCGGTATCTGCAATTTTTCCCGTCTCGATTCTTCCTTGACGTCCGGCCAGGTCATCTGCCACACCCTCCTCTGTAAGTTGCCGCTTCCTCTGCTCGTTGGTTTCACAACTTCGCGCGTCCCCTTCGCCGCCCGACGACACTCTCGCCCTTCTATTCCACACACGTCGAGGCAAACCGTTTTGTCGTCCACATGCCGCCTAGTCACTCGCGGTATCCGAATCCACCAAAAGCGCCCCTTGCCTCTTTTCTCGGCAACATTGCGTTTGGTTCCGAGGCCCAGGCCATTCAAGCACGCAGCCGCGCACCATTTAAGACCATTTAAGACCCCCGAGCTCTCAGCTCTGAGCTCACTCAATCCTGCGACCTAAGATAACCCCGCATATTCAAAGGTCAGCATTACTTTCCATTTGAACACCTGTGCTGACACTCATTTCCAGCTGACTCGTGTGTGCCTCCAAGTGCCACTGGTGCTCTTTATTTCTTCTGGATTTTCCTCCAAGACTCGCCTTGAAACCAGAGATAGCTTTGTCTGGTCCTCTCCCTCAGGTTTAAATCATCTACCTAGTTTACTCGGAGACATCCGCCCACTAAATCATTCATCATGACTACTGAAGCCCCCGCCAGACCTCGTGTCTTTTTTGACATCTCTATTGGCGGCAAAGCCGCCGGCCGCATTACAATGGAACTTTATTCCGACTTGGTTCCCAAGACGGTTGAGAACTTCAGGTGTCTCTGCACAGGTGAGAAGGGCACTGGCAAGTCTGGGAAGCCCCTGCACTACAAGGGCTCCGCCTTTCACCGAGTGATTAAGCAGTTCATGATTCAGGTAAGAATGATGCCTTGACACATGACTCCGAGTACCTCCTGTGTATATGAGTGTGCTAATTATGCTAGGGTGGTGACTTTACTGCTGGTGACGGCACTGGTGGCGAGTCTATCTACGGCAGCAAATTTGAAGACGAAGCCTTCCCTTTGAAGCATGAGAAACCATTCCTCCTTTCGATGGCCAATGCTGGTCCTAGTACGTTCTATTCGGATCCCATGGTTGCTTTTGCTACTCCATTGACCAGCTTGCGATATTAACCAAGGGCAGATACCAATGGTTCTCAGTTCTTCATTACCACCGTCCCTACTCCCCACCTCGATGGCAAGCATGTTGTGTTTGGTGAAGTCTTGAACGGAAAATCTCTTGTCCGCCAAATCGAGAACCTCCAGACGGAGGCCGGTGACAAGCCCGTCAAGGAGGCCCTCATTGCCGACTGCGGTGAACTTACCGGTGAGGAGGCTCAGAAAGCCGATGTCAAGCAGCCTGATGCCATGGGCGATCCCCACGAGGATTACCCCGAGGACTGCAATATCGAACTTGACGCCAAGACCATTCTCAAGATCGCCACTGACTGTAAGGACTTTGGAAACAAGGCCTTCAAGGCCGGGAACCTCAACGTGGGTATAGAAAAGTACGAAAAGGGCCTTCGATACCTCAACGAGGACCCAGACCTGGACAACGAACCCGCCTCCACCAAGCAAAGCCTTGACGCTCTCCGATTCTCGCTGAACAACAACTCGGCCCTGCTCAGCGTCAAGCTCGAATCCTGGGACGACGCTATCCGCCACGCCACCTCTGCTCTCAACGTCCCCGGTGCTTCTGACGCTGACCGTGCCAAGGCTTTCTATCGTCGTGGTGTAGCTCACGTACGCGCTAAGGACGAGGAGGCTGCTCTCAAGGATCTCGAGGAGGCAAGCAAGTTGGCCCCCAATGATGCCGTGGTTGCCAGGGAACTTGCTCATGTCAAGGCCAAGGCTACCGCAAGAGCGGCGAAGGAAAAGGCTGCGTTTAAGAAATTCTTTTCGTGAGGGGCGATGTATAGATTTTGTAAATGATGACGAGAATCTCGTCTGAGATGTACTTCTGAGACTTACATAAAAGTAAAATGCGATTGAGGCCAACTCTTTGACATATTGACGCCCGGAAGTATGTGATGGCGAATTCGACGCTGGGATAAAAAGAACTGACCCACTTGTATAAAAATTGAACGCTTGCCTAGCCATGCTGCTGTGTTCTGGCACTACGCTGCAGCCTTTTTTTGAATGGTATTTAAATGTGCGGTATTTTGGCAGGCACATCTCCTGCTAATCATACACAGACCTCATATTATTCTAATCATTGGCCATCACCTCTGAGAGCACAGAGTAAGCGTCTGTTGAATGATATATTTCCTATGTGCCACGCCAGTACTCCCTCCCTTCAACACAACACAACGCTGGCCACCTACCCAAAATGCATGTCCGAGCAATGCCAGTTCGACACTGTAAAAAAAAAAAAAAGGTGAAATAAAGAAAATGGGTTAGCCGTGGTCATGACTCAAACAGAGACGTTATCTGGATCCCTTTGCATCAGGGCTCTCTGCCCGCCCGCCGATCCTCATGATGCCGTTCAATATAGTTCTGCCCACTTTGCCGTTCTTGCTGCTCTTGGTGGTACTTCCCATGCCGCTCACTTGGCGTAGCCCACCGGCCTTTCTGTACTCGAGGCCGTCTCTGCCACGGCGCCATTCTTTGCTTTTGCGGCGGGATCCGCTTTCGTCGCCGCCGTCGCTACCTGAGCTGTCCGGTGGTCGGTCATCGCCTGACGTGGATGGTAGGGAGTAGGGGACGCTGAGGGATTCTATAAGAGTGGCCTGTTCGAGCGACTCGGCAAGTTGTTCGGCCACGCCTCGAGATGCTGCATTTGCTGCGCGTGTACGCTCAACTTGGGCTAAGCAGGCGTCGGCGCGCTTCTGTAGACCGGTGCATAACTCGTTGAAGATGAGGAGCTCGCCGTCTGCCTGGCCCTTCTTGACGTCTTCGGGGCGTGAGTCTACCCATATACGAACCAGGCTAGCGAAGCTACGCGCATGGTCGATCAGATATGGTAAACTGGGGAATCCTTCCTTGGCTGCAGAGCCCAAGCGACCTAGTATAGTGATGGGTGTGCTGTAGGCAGCCGGAACGCTCTTCACACCGCCCCGTTCAGCAGGGATGCCGCATACTTGGTCAATATAGTCGCGGAATACGGGACGCTGGGTAGTCAGAAACCTGTTCATGGGCTCCATCCATTCTTCGCGTTTGCCAAAAGTGGACATGTTGGACATCTTTTGCAGCACCTTTGCGATCAGGGTCAATGTTCGCTGAGCCCGCGGCTGGGGATGGTCTCGCAGCAGACCAAATAGTTTGGGTGACAAGATTGCAGGGCAAATGAAGCGAAGGAATAAGAAACCGGACACGGCAGTATAGGAAACCGTTCGAAGGAAATCGCCATAGCGGTCCTCAGCAACAGCTCGAATATACTTCAAAATGTGCCGTAGCTCACTTGGCAAGGAATGCGCCGACTTCGCAATGCAGTGCCATACTTCCGTAGTATACTGTATCAGTCGATTCCACCTCTGGTCGATGTCTGTACCACTGCAATTGGACAGTCTACTAGTATCAACCTCACAGTCGGGATTCAACTCATTGATCTCAGCAATCTTTTGCTGTAACACCTCTTCCAGGTATTCCATGCCCAAGCGCCGCATATGAAACTCAAGGGATTGTGTGAGCAAAGTATTTCCTCGGAACAGCAAATTGGCTTCACCAGCAAGTGATTTGCTCATGTCTCTGACAATCAGCTCCCGCTCACTGGCGAACTCAATCGACTCATTAGACTTTAAACGGTTGCTGAATCGAAATTTTTTCATCGAAGTCGCATTTCCGATGCCGTCAATTTCATCCTCGACCAGGGCCATGAGCCAATCGGCCGCATGGCCAGAGGCTTGGAATATATTGAGAAAGCTCTCGGACAGGCGGCGCAACTGACCGGGTAAGGATGCTGATATCATCGTCGTCAAACCCGATGTGAATCGGTGAAGAATTTCGGATAGTGGTTCGTACTCGACGGCAAGTAGTGCGATTTGTTCCGCATGGGAAATTTTAATCAACATGGAACCAATCGGCTGCTGCTTGTCATCTATGATCTGCAGCCAATCCTCATGATCTTTGCCTCGTTGAAGTTTATCCAGGGCAATGTGCACAGTTCCGTACAATGATTCCTGGCTCGGCCCAGGGCGCAGCGCCCCAGATCCTGTCGATGCCGTATCAGGAGCGCCATCAGTCCGCTTCAAGACAACAGATACCTCCTGTACGGTATGCGGCAAGTCGACAAACTCGCAGTCTTCTCTCCAATATGGATTTTTGGTTGCCAGCTTCGTCGTGGTTCTCGCTCTGACTTCGCCGTCTAAAATTACTTCGGCGACATAATTACCAACCAAAGGATCTTGCCCAGTTCTGAAAGGCTTCTCATATATATGTGCTTCTAGACCGGCAGGCCAGGCTTTAACTTTTGCTTCCGTTACTCGTACACCAATAGTCTTTTCTATTCGGAATGTCTCTTCACAAGTTTTCTCCTCTAAATCGGCCACTTCCCGGATGGATTCTTGATCGTTGGCGTCCAACGTATATAACTCTGGCACTGCGAACGCCCGAAGCAATACGAACCACACCTCGAACTGTACGCGATTGTCCAGAGCCAAATAAACAGGCCTGAATATGGATATTTTTGTCGCCGTGCTAGAGTATATTGGGAAAACTGCGAGACAAAACTCCTCGTCCAGTACCGTGTGGTCAAGTTGCTGAATGGCACATCTCGACAGCTGTGACAGTTGTATGACACACAGAGGCGAGATATCGTTTTCTAGGAGCAATTTCAGTTCACCGTTGTCTTGGAGAATGCTAGATATTCTTCTCCAAGTTGCACCTGGTGATAGGGCGCCTCTGGTGGATGATCGCTGGACTAGGTCGTTGGCGGAACCTGTAGAGCCCTTATCCCACAGCAAAATAGTTCCAACTTTGATAATAGTTGCAGCTTTGGAACCTTCTGCTGTCATTCCTGTCTTGTGGATGGGTGGTCCAACAATGCCGGCGGGGCTGTTGTTCCCAGCACCATTTTGCGCTCTTGGTGCCAAGGGTCTTGTTTGCTGCCAGCATAAGAATGCAGCAAGCCACAAATTCCATTCTTCAGGAGCCACAGGTCGCAAATATATTTCAGTTGTAGGGCCTGCGGCAAGGAGCTCGAGGCAATCCTTCCCATCACCAGGATGGTTGGTGGGAAGAACGATACAGCCACGGAGGTCGGAAATGAGGGTGGTGAAGAACGGCCCTGCCTGGCCCGAATTGTACATGAGGCACCCCTTTTCGTCATCGATATAGGCAATACCACTGTGCCAAACACCGTGGTCGCCCTCCGTTTGATACACAATTTCGCCCCGCATTCGGCCACCAAGTGTCTTCATCAACATGATCAACTTGGTGGGTTCAGGAACATCAATAGGCAATGGAAATGAGTCAACAGAAGGAGACGGGGTGGGGACTGGTGAGGAAGGTCGAGATGCTTGTCGTTTTAATAGTCGTTTGCCAGACCTCTTCTCCTTGGACTTTGACGGTGTTTGTGGCGTAGACGGCTCCTGGAGCCGGGAAACATTTGTCGATGAGTAGCCG